GGGGGGGGGGGGGGGGGGGGGGGGGGGAATGCAACAGAAAATGACCTCTGGTTAGCAATCTCTTAGATAAACAGGAGACAATGATAGTTAAAGAGGAGACAGAGTACCTTGCAACTGGAAGACCTCCAAGGTCCTTTCCAACCCTGTAAGTCTATGATTCTATCTATGTTCTTCTGGTCCCTTGTGGCCAGTCAATCAGGAGATGGTGAAGAGTCAATGGCATAGGATTTGCCCTCCAACAGCAATCTACTGCACTAGGGCAATACAGGTATATGCTTCTTCTAAGGAAGAATCAAGTAAAAGCCAATGAAAAGCATTTGTAAATATACATTTGAAACCATGTAAAGAGAATTTTCTTCAGTCTTTGAAGAGCTATGCTTTTTATCAGAGTGGGAGGTTCACATGTTTGGCTGGAGCTTTGAAGGAACTTTGGAGGTTCACATGTTTGGCTCTAAACTTGGGTTTAGTTTAGAAGTGGCCAAATGAAGGGTGTAATTGAGCCTTTCAAGCTACGGGTTGCAATGAATTTCCTCCCATCTGATATTCCTTGACCAAAACATGGACTTATTTCATGAAGAGAGAGATAATTCAGTCTGAAGTTATTACTAACTGATCTTTTATTTCTGAATCTACAAAAAAAGTTCTGTCAATTTCCCTTTAGCCAGGCTTCAATTATGCCAGCTCTGTATGTTTGCTATTCTAGATGTTCTTGCATTTTTTAAAAACTGCTTGTTTCTAGGAGCAATAAATGATCTTCCACAGGATTGTTTATGCTGTACTTTGTACTTCAACCTCTTTTGAAAGCGTGCTTAGGTCTCCACAATATATATATTGAGGAAGCATCAGAGTAAGAGATCTGTAAGAGGTCAAGGAGGCAGAAGGAGCAGCTGCAAAAACCTTCAACTGTGTGAAGAAGCATGGGGTGTAATCGAAGCTGTGGCTTGCTGACTGTTGCAATCATCGGGGCGGTGTTGGCCATCCTTGGCGGTATTCTGATTCCAGTTGGAAATCACTTTGTTGAGAAGACAATAAAAAAGGTAAGAGACACCTATAATTCCTGTATTACC